TTGTCACCTCCGGTCAGCCCCGCTTGAAGTATTTCAGCGTCCTCGTTTGTCATCGAGGACCTCACTGCAGAGCAAGTCGAGCCTCCGAGAACCAGCAGCTTTCAGACCGTGTTCGAAGGTTCAAGCCCAAAGCCGGTTGTTAGACCCGCTATTGGACCCATTTCCCGTTCAATAACTCGTAGTTTCCCGAATTCGGGTAACTTATTCGAATCCTCTAATTAATACGGTCGTTTTCATATATCACATGTTATATATATTATGTGTTCGGTCTACCGAAAGTTGGTTTGAAGTCGGATTACTTTTAGTTCATTTAATTGTTATGTGTATATTTCGTTTATTCGTGGATTTTCGGAAGTGATTGGAACTCTCGATTTCATAAACGTGAATACCGTTGTGTTGCTGTGCTAAAATTTTTTGAGTTCGGAGCCTCGTTTTGTTGTTTCGAGCCGTCATTAGGTTGTTCGGATCATTCGAACCCTGGATCGTTCATTTTGTTTGATTGTTCCGTTTTTGGAGCCAAAACGGTTGTTAAAAATATATTTCGAAACTTTAAAAATATGTTATTGTTGGTAACCTCTCGAATCCCGTTGCCGTTAGATATGTCGTCGTCATTTTTGGTCGAATAATTGCCCAACCTTTTAGCAGATAGCAGCCTCTGTACGATTTCTTTTCTGTTCAGATAGCAGCTTTACGTTTACTTTCATTAATATATGTTTTCAATTACAACTGCAACCAAGCTTGTAGCACAGTGGTATTCATTGCACTATTTCCCGTTTGAGGTCGTGCGTTCGAACCTTGAGGCCTGCAATCTTTTTATTTCATTTTTTCCCAGCCTTTTGACTGCTCCCAAATGCGCGGGCCGTTAGGCCCGATACCAGCCCGCGCGAAGCCCGTTCCTTCTCCCTGTGCGGCCCGCTTGAAAGCCCAGCAAAGGCCCGCGACCTGCAGCCATATTATTAGGCCCAAATACCTGATTTAGCAGCCTAGATGGCATGTAGACCCAAATTACTTATCAGTTTTGGCCCAATTAGCTTTTTAGCTCAATTTTGGTGTTCCGGAGCCCGTTTTTAATACCGATTTCAATTTTAAAAATTATTTTCAAATGAGAAAAATTTAGAAAACTTATTTTAAGTCCCGAGACTCCAAATTTTATCTTCCGAGTCTTATTTTTCAAAAATGAGAGAGTTCCAAGTCCACGAAAAATCCGATAAAAACCCTTAAGACTTAATTTTTATTAAGTATGGGTTTTATGTTAAATTTGAGTAGTGAGATAAATTATTGATAAATTATCTCGCTTAAATGTAGGTGTTTGAGGAGTCGAGCCTCATCCTACGTACTTGCTCTTGTGTGCAATTTTCTACCGATCTATCCAGGTGGGTTTACTTATAAAATTGTCTATGTCATACGTGTTGTTTAATGTTTTGTTGGTATGATCAATGTATGCATGTGAACCATGTAACCTACTGATGTGAGCTGTTACGGCCGTCGGTACGGTTGTCTCCGTCGAGTTACAGTATGGTTGCTCTTGCGAGGCAAGTCTCCTTAAGACCTAATGAAAGGACGTGTCTGTTACAGTGGCACACACTCCCGTCGTTAGGGTTTATGCATCCCATTTCCGCGGCTAATGGTAGATGTGCACATGAGTGAGTTATTGTTGTGATTATTAGGAGATGAGACATGATGATGATTGATTTATATTCATGCTGCGACCATACCATCTTTACATGTTATTATGTGCATAGTAGTGAGCACTATTTTATCATTTGTGCTCATTCCCACCTGCTCTTCACGGATGCAGGTTAAGCAGTGGCCGGGTGACGGGACAAAGGACGAGTGGTGGTTTATTATTTGTTTTATTTTGCTTCCGCTTTAATAATATGGTCGTTATGAACCTTCTATGTTTTGGACATGTGAAAACTGTTTTCGAACTATGTTTTGATGTTTGAAAATATTTTGGAAAACCCTTTTGAACCTTGAATAATCATGGTGTTTGATTTATGAATTTTCAGTTGTTCAGATGGGATATTATGTTGAGGTGTGAATCAGGTTAATGAAAACCTTGTGAAAAATCGGGTTTATGAATCCCCGTGAGTCCAGATAAGACTTGGACTAAGTAAATTGTGTTGGTTAATGCCCTTGATTTCGAAAATGATTTTGAAAAATTTGTACTGATTTTTGGAAAGTCCGAAATTTCTGAAAAATCAAAGTGGGGTGTGACAGTTTGGTATCAGAGCCAGTCTGCGTTTCTGTAGACTGACGCATATGTGATTATATGTTTAGACCTTGTGTTATGACCACTCGTCTCCGTCACTCTGCGTTGCTTAAGGTATGTTTGATTTAAGTATTAATGAAAATACTTGATAGGCGAATGATACACATGTAGCAATGAAAACTACTTGTGAGGTACTTGTGATATGGGGCTTAGGGTCTATCCACCTTGATTTAATCAAACTCTAGTGTTTATTGGCGAACTCTAGACTTCTATAAGTATTGATTATTTGTTTGTTTTTGTGCTAAACTTTGTTCGACTTATTCAACGTAGAAGTATGAATACTCGCAACAACAATCGTAACCGTCAGGCATCCCCGCAACCTTCTCCGCCTCGTCAACACCAGGCCCCTCTGGCCATGGACCTCACTCAGCTTATCGTCCAGTTTCAGAGGATGAATGCACCCACTTTTGCGAGGACTGAGAACCCCACAGCGGTGCTGGAGTGGATGAAAGAGCTGGATAAGATTTTTGCGGTACTTCCCCTCCCTGACCGCCAGCGAGTGTCCCTAGCATCTTATCAGATGAAGGAGGACGCCTCTGACTGGTGGATTGACCACTGGGCCCGGAGGCCAGAGGCGGAGCTTCATGCTTTGACTTGGGAGCAAATGAAAGTGATGGTGCGCAGCAAGTTCCTTCCCCGGAGCTTTTGGGATAGGATGGAGCATGAGTTCTACCACTTGCAGCAGGGCAGCTCCACAGTGGACGAGTATATCCGTACCTTCACTCGCATGTGCCTTTTTGCGGGCGACGCAGTAAATACCGATGCTAAGAAGGACTGATGTCTTTCATTTGAGGATCCGTGAACTAGTGGGGAGTCACGGACTGATGTCTTTCGCAGATACTGTTAGTCGAGCTCAGGAGGTAGAGAGCTGTCTCATTCCGATAGCCCCAGTCCCTTCATATTATCATGCCTCCCAGCCTTCTCAGACTGTTGTTCAGTATGCTCAGCCCATCTCATCTGTACCGCCCGGCTTTAATTCGGGCAAGAGGAAGTCCGACTTTCAGAACAAGAAGAAGGGAAAGAAAGAAAACTTCGGCAGACGTGACGACCGACCCACTCAGGGTCAACAGCCGAGGTGCCCTAAATGCGGCAGGTTCCACACCGGAGAGTGCTTAGTAGACCAGCGAGCTTGTTACAACTGCAACCGTCCAGGTCACTATGCCAGTGTCTGCACCGAACCGAAGAGACAGCAACAGCAGCCGCCCTTTCCCAGCAGCGTCAGCAGCAGCTTCCCCCACCGCCACCTCATCAGCAGCATCAGCAGCCCCCACCGTTCCAGCAGAGGACTGGGGGTCAGGCTTGAGTCTATACCATCACCCATGATGAGGCCGCCCGCAATGCAGGTACCATGTCCGGAATGCTTTCGATATCCCATGTGCCTGTGTTTGCTTTATGTGATACCGATGCTACCCATTCTTTTATTTCTTCTCGTTGCTTGGAGGCTTTATCTATTGGCACCGTGCATGCTTGTGATCCTCTCGAGGTTAGTTTAGCCTCGGGAAAAACTATTATCTATGATTCGGTGGTTCGCAACCTTCCTATTTGCATTGGTGGTCGAGTTCTAGAGGCCGATGTGTATGTTATCGAAATGCGAGACTTTGATGTGATCTTGGGCATGGACTGGCTCACCCGTTATCGAGCCGACATCCGGTGCCAAGAGCGCGAACTCACCCTCTATCCCGTTTCCGATCAGCCTGTTGTGTTCTTTGGGGTGAGTTCGAGGACTGTGCCTCGGGTCATCTCTTCTATGCAAGCTAGGAAGAGCCTTTGCAAGGGTATCTGTCAAGGCTATCTTGTTTCCATGGTATCCGACGATGTTGATGAGCGGGTGCCCGAGAGAGTATCTATTGTTTGCGAGTACCTCAACGTCTTTCCTGATGATTTGCCCGGAGGACCGCCCGACCGCTAGGTGGAGTTCACCATTAACCTAGTTCCAGGAGTCGGACCCGTTTCTAAGGCCCCTTACCGTATGGCGCCGAAGGAGCTTCAAGAGCTCAAGGCCCAGATCCAGGAGTTGCTCAAGCTTTGTTTCATTCGTACGAGTGTCTCGCCGTGGGGTGCGCTCGTCCTATTCGTGAAGAAGAAAGACGGATCTATGCGCATGTGCATTGACTATCGGGAGTTGAATGCCCTTACAGTCAAGAACAAGTATCCCCTTCCCCGTATTGAGGACCTTTTCGACCAGCTGAGAGGAGCCAGCATCTTCTCAAAGATTGACTTGCGTTCTGGCTATCATCAGCTGAAGATCCGAGAGTCAGACATTTCCAAGACTGCTTTCCGTACCCGCTATGGCCACTATGAGTTCGTAGTCATGCCTTTCGGACTCAGCAATGCCCCGGACGTTTTCATGGACCTCATGAATAGGGTCTTTCATCCCTTCCTGGACCAGTTCGTCATTGTGTTCATCGACGACATTCTGGTCTATTCCCGAGCTATCGATCAGCACAAGGAGCATCTGAGGAATGTGCTGGAGACTCTTCGCCGCGAGAAGTTATATGCTAAGTTCTCGAAGTGCGAGTTCTGGTTAGATCGTGTGGCGTTCCTTGGCCACATTGTGACAGCGAGAGGCATTGAGGTGGATCCCAGCAAGATCGAGGCAGTGAGCAAGTGGGATACGCCGAGAAGTGCCGCTGATGTTCGTAGTTTCCTGGGGTTAGCAGGATACTATAGGAGGTTTATCGAGGGCTTCTAGAAGATAGCCCAGCCGCTGACCAACGTTACGAAGAAAGCCGTGAGGTTTGATTGGAGTCCTCAGTGCGAAGAGAGTTTCCAGGAGTTGAAGAGGAGACTCACTACCGCGCCTGTCCTATCTATACCCGACCCTACTTTGGAGTTCACCATCTATAGTGATGCTTCGAAGATGGGTTTGGGATGTGTCATTATGCAGCAGGGGAAAGTCGTGGCCTATGCTTCGAGGCAGCTGAAGCCTCACGAGCAGAACTACTCCACTCATGATCTCGAGTTAGCTGCAGTTGTCCACGCCCTGAAGATTTGGCAGCACTATCTCTATGGAGGCAAGTGTGAGATCTTTACCGACCACAAGAGCTTAAAGTACATCTTCACTCAGA